AGACGCGGCCAGGGGTGCCGAGAGGGTCGGGCGTGGGGTCACCCTTGGACCAGCGCCTCCCCCCAGGGGGTCCCGTGGCCCCCGGCCCCCTCCCGAGACAGGCCCTGACGCCCGCGCGTGGCCCCCCTCACCCAGCAGTGCCCCCCCAGGCCCTGTGACCACAGACAGTGCTCAGGAGCACCAGGGCGGCACAGCCCAGCGGCCGGGATAGCCCCGTGTGTGTGTGTCCATGTGTGTATCGTCCACCAACAGCACCCGGGACTCCTTTCTCACGCCCACAGTGCTCCCTGCAGGCCGGGGGGCCGGGTCCTTGTCCGCCAGGGACTCGGCATCCCGGAGTGCGGACAACCACCATCCCCCAGCTGAGGTCAGAGCATGGAGTGTGTGTGTGTGTGTCTGTGTGTGTGGGGGGGTGTCTGTGTGTCTGTGTGTCTGTGTGTATCTGTACATGTGTCTGAGCGTGAGTCTGCAAGTGTGTCTGTGTGTGTCTGTGTGTGTCTGTGTATATCTGTTTGTGTGTCTAAGTGTGGGTCTGCATGTGTGTGTCTGTGTGTGTCTGTGTCTTGTGTATTTGTATTTGTATGTGTGTCTAAGTGTGGGTCTGCATGTGTGTGTCTGTGAGTGTCTGTGTGTATCTGTATGTGTGTCAAAGCGTGCATCTATATGTGTCTGTCTGTATGTCTGTGTATGTCTGTGTGTTTCTATGTGTGTGTCTGTGTGTGTTGGTGTGTCCTTGTGTCTGTGTGTGTTTACGTGTATGTCTGTGTGTCTCTGAGTCCGTGTGTGTTCGTGTGTGTCTATGTGTGTCTCTGTGTCTGTGCGTGTCTGTGTGTGCACCAGTGTCTGCATCCATGAGTGTCTGTGTCTGTGTGTGCCTGTGTTTCTCTGCTGTGTCTGTGTTTGTGTGTCTGCGTGTGTCAGTGTGTGTCTGTCTGTGTGTGTCTGTTTATGGGTGTGTGCCTGTTACTGTCTCTGTCTGTGTATATCTGTGTGTATCTGTGTCACTGTGTGTGTTTGTGTCTGTGTGTATTTGTGTGTGTCTGTGTGTCCGTCTGTGTCTGTGAGTGTGTGCGTGTCTAAGTGTGCGTCTGCATGTGTCTGTCTCTGTGTGTCTCTGTGTGTCTATGAGTATGTCTGTGTGTCTATGTGTGTCAGTGTGTCTGCATCGCTGTGTGTCTGTGTGTGTCTATGTGTGTCTCTGCTATGTCTGTGTTTGTGTGTCTGGGTGTGTCAGTGTGTCTGTGTGTCTCTGTTTATGGGTGTGTGTCTGTGTGTCTCTGTGTGTGTGTCTGTGTCTCTGTGTGTGTTTGTGTCTGTGTGTATTTGCGGTGTGTCTTGTCTTTATGTGTGTCTCCATTTGTGTCTGTGTGTGTCAGTTTATGTGTGTCTATGTGTGTTTGTGTCTGTGTGTGTATCTGTGTGTGTCTGTGTCTGTGTGTGTCAATTCATGTGTGTGCCGGCTCCAGCTGGGCTCCGGGAAGCCACCAGCACCTCCGGGAAATAGTAGTGGGGTCCCGGCCGGCTCCGAGCACTGAGCCAGGAGTCCACTGAGCCAGCCTGAAAGGGAGGACATGGGGTGGGGGGGGAGATACTTAGGGGAAAGAAGAAAATCTCAATCGGACACAGTTTCCTCCACATTGGGATTTAAGGGGGAGATGATAAAGGGCCTGGCACGCGGCCGACCCGGGTTCGAGTCCCGGCATCCCCTAGGGTCTCCCGAGCACTGCCAAGGGTGATTTCTGAGTGCAGAGCCACGTGGGACCCCCCAAAAGCAAAATAATAATAATAATAATAATAATAATAATAAATCATTTCTGCTTTTTTGACTTTAGTCCAACCCACGATCCTTCCTTCCTCGTCCACCTGCAGTCGCCCAGCACGGGGGGTCCGGGACCCCCGAGAAGTGCTTGTACCCGGGCAGACACGAACAGGAGCCGGTGGCCACAGCCGGGGACGGTCCCGGCCACCCCAGCCTGGGCACTTTGCGTTGCCAGGGAACTTTTTTTGATGCTCGGGGAACTGAGCCCGATTCTCGGGGAACTGAGCCCAGTTCTCGGGAACTGAGTCCGATTCTTGGGGAACTGAGTCCGATTCTTGGGGAACTGAGTCCGATTTTCAGGGAACTGAGTGATTCTCAGGAAACTGAGTCCGATTCTTAGGGAACTTAGCCCTATCCTTGGGAAACTGAGCCCGATTCTCAGTGAACTGAGTCCGATTCTTGGGGAACTGAGTCCGATTCTCGGTGAACTGAGCCCGATTCTTAGGGAACTTAGCCCGATTATCGGTGAACTGAGCCCGATTCTTAGGGAACTTAGCCCGATTATCGGTGAACTGAGCCCAGTTCTCAGGGAACTTAGCCCTATCCTTGGGAAACTGAGCCCGATTCTCGGTGAACTGAGTGATTCTCAGGGAACTGAGTCCGATTCTTGGGGAACTGAGCCCGATTCTCAGGGAACTGAGTCCGATTCCCAGGGAACTCAGCCCAATTCTTGTGCAACTGAGCTCGATTCTTGGGAAACTGAGCCCGATTTTCAGGGAACTGAGTCCAATTCTCGAGGAACTGAGTCCAATTCTCAGGGAACCGAGCTGGATTCTCGGGGAACTGAGCCTGATTCTCTCAACAAGAACCAGAACCCGCATCACAGCTGGGGTCTGGGGGTCCTTGCATGCAGGCTACAGAGCTGGGGGTGGTCTCCCGAGAGCCCAATTTTTGAGAGAAACTTAGCCCGATTCTCGGGGTACTGAGCCTGATTCTCGGGGAACTGAGCCCAATTCTCAGGGAACTGAGTCCGATTCTTGAGAAACTGAGTCCGATTCTTGGGGAACTGAGCCCAATTCTTGAGAAACTGAGCCCAATTCTTGGGGAGCTGAGTCCGAATCTCGGGGAACTGAGTCCGATTCTCGGGGAACTTAGCCTGAATCTTTGGAAACTGCGTTTGATTCTAGAGAAACTGAGCCCGATTCTCGGGGAACTGAGCCTGATTCTCGGGGAACTGAGTCCGATTCTCGGGGAACTGAGTTTGATTTTCAGGGAACTGAGCCTGATTCTCTCAACAGGAACCAGGACCTGCATCGCAGCTGGTGGCTGGGGGTCCTTGCATGCAGGCAACAGAGCTGGGGTTGATCTCCCGAGAGCCCAATTTTTGAGAGAAACTTAGCCCGATTCTCGGGGTACTTAGCCTGATTCTCGGGGTACTGAGCCTGAATCTTTGGAAACTGAGTTTGATTCTAGAGAAACTGAGTCTGATTCTCGGGGAACTGAGCCTGATTCTCGGGGAACTGAGTCCGATTCTCAGGGAACTGAGTTTGATTCTCGGGGAACTGAGTCTGATTCTCTCAACAGGAACCAGGACCCGCATCACAGCTGGGGTCTGGGGGTCCTTGCATGCAGGCAACAGAGCTGGGGTTGGTCTCCCGAGAGCCCAATTTTTGAGAGAAACTTAGCCCGATTCTCGGGGTACTTAGCCTGATTCTACTGAGCCTGATTCTCGGGGAACTGAGCCCAATTCTCAGGGAACTGAGTCCGATTCTTGAGAAACTGAGTCCGATTCTTGGGGAACTGAGCCCAATTCTTGAGAAACTGAGCCCGATTCTTGGGGAGCTGAGTCCGAATCTCGGGGAACTGAGTCCGATTCTCGGGTAACTTAGCCTGAATCTTTGGAAACTGAGTTTGATTCTAGAGAAACTGAGCCTGATTCTCGGGGAACTGAGCCTGATTCTCGGGGAACTGAGTCCGATTCTCGGGGAACTGAGTTTGATTTTCAGGGAACTGAGCCTGATTCTCTCAACAGGAACCAGGACCTGCATCGCAGCTGGGGTCTGGGGGTCCTTGCATGCAGGCAACAGAGCTGAGGTTGATCTCCCGAGAGCCCAATTTTTGAGAGAAACTTAGCCCGATTCTCGGGGTACTTAGCCTGATTCTCGGGGTACTGAGCCTGAATCTTTGGAAACTGAGTTTGATTCTAGAGAAACTGAGTCCGATTCTCAGGGAACTGAGCCTGATTCTCGGGGAACTGAGTCCGATTCTCAGGGAACTGAGTTTGATTCTCGGGGAACTGAGTCTGATTCTCTCAACAGGAACCAGGACCTGCATCACAGCTGGGGTCTGGGGGTCCTTGCATGCAGGCAACAGAGCTGGGGGTGGTCTCCCGAGAGCCCAATTTTTGAGAGAAACTTAGCCCGATTCTTGGGGTACTTAGCCTGGTTCTCGGGGTACTGAGCCTGATTCTCGGGGAACTGAGCCCAATTCTCAGGGAACTGAGTCTGATTCTTGAGAAACTGAGTCCGATTCTTGGGGAACTGAGCCTGATTCTTGAGAAACTGAGCCCGATTCTCAGGAAACTGAGTCCGATTCTCAGGGAACTGAGTCCGATTCTCGGGGAACTTAGCCTGAATCTGGGAAACTGAGTTTGATTCTAGAGAAACTGAACCTGATTCTCGGGAACTGAGCCTGATTCTCGGGGAACTGAGCCAGATTCTTGGGGAACTGAGTCCGATTCTGAGGGAACTGAGTTTGATTCTCGAGGAACTGAGTCCAATTCTCAGGGAACCGAGCTGGATTCTCGGGGAACTGAGTCTGATTCTCTCAACAGGAACCAGGACCTGCATCACAGCTGGGGTCTGGGGGTCCTTGCATGCAGGCAACAGAGCTGGGGGTGATCTCCCGAGAGCCCAAGTTTTGAGAGAAACTTAGCCTGATTCTCGGGGTACTGAGCCTGATTCTCGGGGAACTGAGCCCAATTCTCAGGGAACTGAGTCCGATTCTTGAGAAACTGAGTCCGATTCTTGGGGAACTGAGCCCAATTCTTGAGAAACTGAGCCCGATTCTTGGGGAGCTGAGTCTGAATCTCAGGGAACTGAGTCCGATTCTCGGGGAACTGAGTCTGAATCTCGGGGAACTTAGCTGGATTCTTGGGGAACTGAGTTTGATTCTCGGAAAACTGAGTCCGATTCTCTCAACAGGAACTGGAACCCGCGTCACAGCTGGGGTCTGGGGGTCCTTGCATGCAGGCAAACAGAGCTGGGGGTGGTTTCCCCCACAATGGAACCCCAGAGGGATCCCCCTGGTCCCGGCCAAGCAGAGACCCCTGAAGTCAGAGCCAGGAGGAGGAAGATGAGGAAGACGAGGAGGAGGAGGAGGAAGAAGAAACGAGCTTTGCTGTGGGTGCGGCAACCAAAGCCAAAAAAAAAAAAAAATCAGGAACTGATCCCTCGTCGGACACCTACGGATTTGTTCTTCCTCCCCGTACGCCCCTCCTGCCTGGCTGCAGCACCTGTCCCATGCCTCAGAGTGGACACAAGACCTCCCCAAAGACCCTCCCCCCAAACACACACACACACACCTGGAGAATCTCCTGAACCTCCCCAGGGGAGGCTCCAGGTGTCCCGGACGGGGGGTTCTGGGCCCTCAGGGGGGCCACACCGAGTCCCCGTGGCACGTGCAAAGGGCCAGGGACCCACTGTTTTCCATGATGAAACGCAGCATGTGTGACTCCTCCTCCACGCCCGACACAAAGCCCCTCGCCTAAGCCTGAGCCGGGTGGTCCCTGCACCCGGGCTGGACCCCTGGGTGCCCGTTTGGAGTCTCCTGGGGGCTCTGGGCTGAGCGGGCGCCTCTCCCTGCGCCCATCACTCCGCCCACCTACCTCATGAGAACTGTGTGCAGGACAGGGAGGCAGGTTGACCTCTGGGGGCCCGGGGGCAGCGTCTCCAAGTCACAGTTCCGCCTCCGAGTGTCACCGTGACCCCTAGAGACTCCCCTCTCCTCTCTCTGTCTCCCTCTTTCTCCCTCTCTCCCTCTCTCTCTGTCTCTCTCCAGCTCTATCTCTCTCGTCTCTCTCTTTTGTCTCTCTGTCTCCCTCTCTCCATCTCTCTCCATCTCTCCGTCTCTCTTCGTCTTGGTCAATCTCTCTCCCTCTCCCTCCACCTCTGTCTCCGTCTCTCTCTCTCCCTCTTTCTCCCTCTCTGTCTCTCTCTCCCTCTCTCTCTGTCTCTCTCCGCCTCTATCTCTCTCTGTCTCTCTCGTCTCTCTCTTGTCTCTCTCATCTCTCTCCCTCTTCTCTCTCCATCTCTCTCTCCTTCTCTCTCGTCTCTCTCTCGCTCTCTCCGTCTCTCCCTCTCTCTCTGTCTTGGTCAATCTCTCTCCCTCTTTCTCCCTCTCTGTCTCTCGCTCCCTCTCTCTCCTTCTCTCTCTCCCTGTCTCCCTCTCTCTTCCTCTCTTTCCATCTGTCTCTCCCTCCCTCTCTCTCCCTCTCCTTCTTTCTCTGTCTCTCCCTCTCTCTCTCCCTCTCTCCTTCTCTCTCTCCTCTCTCCATCTCTCTTTCTCTCTCCCTCTCTCCATCTCTCTCTCCCTCTCTCTCTCCTTCTCTCTCCCTCTTTCCGTTTCTCTCCCTCTCTCTCCCTCTCTCTCCCCCTCCTTCTCTCACTCCTTCTCTCTCCCTCTCTCTCTCCCTCTTTCTCTCCTTCTCTCTCCTTCTCTCTTCCTCTCTCCGTATCTCTCTCCCTCTCTCCGTCTCTCTCTCCCTCTCTCTTCCTCTCCTTCTCTCTCCTCTCTCCCTCTCTCTCCCTCTTTCTCTCCCTCTCTCTCCCTCTTTCTCTCCTCTCTCCTTCTCCTCTCCTCTCTCTCCTCTCTCTCCTCTCTCCCTCTTCCTTCTCTCTTCTCTCTCTCCCTCTCTGTCTCTCTCTCCCTCTCTCTCCCTGTCTCCCTCCCTCTCTCTCTCTCACTCCCCTCCCTCCCTCTCTCCTTCTCTCTCCCCCTTCTCCCTCTCTCTCCTTCTCTCTCTCCCTCTCCCTTTTCCTCTCCCGCCCAGACCACTCCGAGACCCTCTAAAGGAGAAGGAGCACCACCACGTAACCGGGGACTGGCGGGGATTCACCAAGGACACCCAAGCACACGCCAACACGCCACCACCACCCACAGCTCGGCCCGGACACACACAGCGTCATGCCCACAGGAGACCAAGGTGGACACACACACAGACACACACACACAGACAGACACACAGACACACACACACACACACCCTGTCACATAGGAGCCCTTGAGGACACAATCAGACACTCAGACAACAGTTACGCAGGCAAGCCGGAACACACGGACGCACACGGACGCACCCCGGACAGCCACGTGGCACAGCACACGCGTGCAAAGACACTCGGACACTGGCTACCGGGGGAGGCGTCCAGAGACCCCCAGGCGAGGCTCATATCTGGGGATCCCGGGGGTCCCCAGGTGCCTCTTGGGCTCAAGGACCCCCGTAGTCCTGGCACCCTCCGAAAAACTCCCTGGCCCGTCCCCACCTGCGTGGGCACCCGAATCCCAGCGCCCACGGACCCCCGCTGGAGAAGGAGCGGTCACTTACCCAGCCGGTTGGCCCAGCCTGGCATCCTGGGTCTTCGCTGGACGCCACTGACCCCCCACGCCCGGGATGGGCGTGTGGGGGACGCCCACCTCTGCCCACCTTCACCCAAGCTGGGGACTCCGGCCGGCCGGGTCCCGGTTCTGCGTCTCGGCCCCCTGGGAGAGCAGATGAGACCCGGCAGGACCCCGCCTGTCCGCCGCCCGCCACCAGACGCCGCCACCGCCGGTCCACTCCCTCACCCACCCACCCCCCGACCGGTCCCGTTTCCTCATCGGGGTTGGGAAACCCCAGGGCGCCGTGGGCTCCTGCGAACAGCACCCAGGGGAGAAGAGAGAAGTACGGCCTGTCCTGCCCCCTGCCCCCACCCCCCACCCCCACCCAGGGATGTTCCCTGCTCCCTCTCCCAGCCCCCAACACCATCCCGCAAGGTGGGTCCCTGACAGCCCCCAACCCAACGTCTCATGCACGCGCGCACACACACACACACACACACACACACACACACACACACACACATGGCCAGGCTCAGCAGGGAGCATGAGGATGAACATTGGGTCCCAGGTGGAATTTGTTGGCAAGGAGTGAGGGGTCCGGCGTGGGTGGAGGGTCCCGGGCATCTGTGTGTGTCTGTGTGTGTGTGTTGGGGGTTTGCCTTCTGTTCTTTGACCCACAGGAACCGTCTCTCAGAGGATGCGTGCCCAGGGTGTCCCTCCTGGTACACGGAGTCCCAGATGGCTCCAGCTTAGCCCCACAGAGATCAGAGTCCGGGGGCGACTGATCCAAGAGGAGCCTTTGCCCACTCCTCCTCCTCCTCCTCCTCCTCCTCCTCCTCCTCCTCCTCCTCCTCCTCCTCCTCCTTCTCCTCCTCCTTCTCCTCCTCCTCCTCCTCCTTCTCCTCCTCCTTCTCCTCCTCCTCCTCCTCCTTCTCCTCCTCCTCCTCCTCCTCCTCCTCCTCCTTCTCCTCCTCCTCCTCCTCCTCCTTCTCCTCCTCCTTCTCCTCCTCCTCTTCCTCCTCCTCCTCCTTCTCCTCCTTCTCCTTCTCCTCCTTCTCCTTCTCCTCCTTCTCCTTCTTCTCCTTCTCCTCCTCCTCCTCCTTTTTCTTCTTCTTCGTCTTCTCTTCTTTTTGTCTTTTCTTCTTTTCTTCTTCTCTTCTCTTCTTCTTGTCTTCTCCTCATCTTCTTCTCCTCCTCCTCTTCTACTTCTTCTCCTCCTTCTCTTCTTATTCTCTCCTCCTCCTCCTCCTCCTCCTCTTCTTCTTCTTCTTCTTCTCCTTCTCCTCCTCCTCCTCCTCCTCCTCTTCTTCTTCTTCTTCTTCTTCTTCTTCTTCTTCTTCTTCTTCTTCTTCTTCTTCTTCTTCTTCTTCTCCTCCTCCTCCTCCTCCTCCTCTTCTTCTTCTTCTTCTTCTCCTCCTCCTCTCCTCTTTTTCTTCTTCTCTCCTCCTCCTCCTTCTCCTCCTCCTCCTCCTCTTCTTCTTCTTCTTCTTCTTCTTCTTCTTCTTCTTCTTCTTCTTCTAGTTCTTCTTCTCCTCCTCCTTCTCCTCCTCCTCCTCCTCCTCTTCTTCTTCTTCTTCTTCTTCTTCTTCTTCTTCTTCTTCTAGTTCTTCTTCTCCTCCTCCTCCTTCTCCTCCTCCTCTTCTTCTTCTTCTCCTCCTCCTCCTTCTCCTCCTCCTCCTCCTCCTCCTCCTCCTTCTCCTCCTCCTTCTCCTCCTCCTCTTCCTCCTCCTCCTCCTTCTCCTCCTTCTCCTTCTCCTCCTTCTCCTTCTCCTCCTTCTCCTTCTTCTCCTTCTCCTCCTCCTCCTCCTTTTTCTTCTTCTTCGTCTTCTCTTCTTTTTGTCTTTTCTTCTTTTCTTCTTCTCTTTCTCTTCTTCTTGTCTTCTCCTCATCTTCTTCTCCTCCTCCTCTTCTACTTCTTCTCCTCCTTCTCTTCTTATTCTCTCCTCCTCCTCCTCCTCCTCCTCTTCTTCTTCTTCTTCTTCTTCTCCTTCTCCTCCTCCTCCTCCTCCTCCTCTTCTTCTTCTTCTTCTTCTTCTTCTTCTTCTTCTTTCTTCTTCTTCTTCTTCTTCTTCTTCTTCTTCTTCTTCTCCTCCTCCTCCTCCTCCTCCTCTTCATTCTTCTTCTTCTTCTCCTCCTCCTCCTCCTCTTTTTCTTCTTCTTCTCCTCCTCCTCCTTCTCCTCCTCCTCCTCCTCTTCTTCTTCTTCTTCTTCTTCTTCTTCTTCTTCTTCTTCTTCTTCTTCTTCTTCTTCTTCTTCTTCTTCTTCTAGTTCTTCTTCTCCTCCTCCTTCTCCTCCTCCTCCTCCTCCTCCTCTTCTTCTTCTTCTTCTTCTTCTTCTTCTTCTTCTTCTTCTTCTTCTAGTTCTTCTTCTCCTCCTCCTCCTTCTCCTCCTCCTCTTCTTCTTCTTCTCCTCCTCCTCCTTCTCCTCCTCCTCCTCCTCCTCCTCCTCCTCCTCCTCTTCTTCTTCTTCTTCTTCTTCTTCTTCTTCTTCTTCTTCTTCTTCTTCTTCTTCTTCTTCTTCTTCTTCTTCTTCTTCTTCTTCTTCTCCTCCTCCTCCTCCTCCTCCTCCTCCTCTTCTTCTCTTCTCCTCCTCCTTCTTCTTCTCCTCCCAGATGCTGGCGAGATGAATCAGCCCCTGAGTGGACCAGGTCGCGACAGGACAGAACGTGATTAATCACCGCCCCCAGCTGTTCTGATGAAATGAGGCCTGGGCCACGCCGCTTCAGTCCAAAGAGGCTCTTCTCAAATCGCACAGAAAGAAGACTTTGCCTTCTAATTATGCAGAAGTCAACGCCCCCAGACCCCCAAATCCACACAGGTTTTGAGAAGCCTGGTCTTAAAGTTCCCCAGTATGGCCGTGCTCCCACCCGGAAATGAAATACAATGTCTTGGACCAGAATGGCCCATGAAGTTAAAAAAAATGTTTACATAGTCACCAAAAATAAATAATAATAATAATAATGTCATTTTTGAAAAAAATGTTTTTATTCACTTATCTGCAATTTTGTGGCCATTTTTTTTACTTTATTTTATTTATTTTTGGGGTCACACTCGGTGATGCTCAGGGCTTCCTCCTGCCTCTGTACTCAGGAATCCCTCCTGGCAGTGCTCGGGGGACCCAAGGGGATGCTGGGAATCGAACTCGGCTCGGCCGCGTGCCAGGCAAATGCCCTCCCTGATGGCCTATCGCTCCTGGCCCCATTTTGTGGCGATTTTGAGGAGTTTTGTTTTGTTCTGGTGTGTGGTTCTCACTCCCTGTATACAATCAAAATACAGAGACAAAAAGACATGCAGACACACACACACACACACACAGACACACACACCCTCTTTTTATGTGGCATATAAAGAAATAGAGTAGGAAGTGGAACTGCATTCTAGCAGGGTGGGCACTGGCTTTGCACGTAGCCCACCCAGATGTTAACTGCAATGTTTGTTCCTCACATCACGGGAATCCTGGTGCTCTTGACCAGACATGTAGAGGAAGCTTTTGTTTGCTGTATGGCTGAGCATGACCCAAACCCTGAGCATGGACCTGGAAGCCTCCGACTGGTGTGACAATTGTCGAAAGCATTTGTGTGCCCAACAAGGCCTGAGGGCTTGCCTACGATCTTGGGTTTCGTCCTCAAGACTTGGTCACCACTAGATGCAAAGTCCATTATCCATTGGCACTTGGCAAGCGGTCGGCCTGGCCATCAAAGAGTTCCTGAGATCTGGCCTTTTAAAAATTTATTTATTTAAACAAAATTTTATTAGTGAATCACCGTGAGGTGCAGTTACAGGCTTACCGACTTTCATGCTTGCATTTCAATCATCCAATGATCGAGGACCCATCCCTCCACCAGTGCCCATTTCCCACCACTGGTGGCTTTTCTTTCCTGGAATCGTGGAACATTTCCCTGGAAGTGTGAGCCTGAATCTCCCGGCCCACGGGCCCACCCTTTGCCACATGGCCTTGTGTGTCCCAACAAAAGTGTGACCACTGAGTCTCCATCTTTCCTTTCTCAGCCTCCTTTTGGGGGGGAAACTGCTGAGAACTAGCGGGGAGAAATGTTGAAGCCCACACGGTCTTCTGAGCCGATTCTCAGTTCTCTTTTGCACCGAGACAGTTGACGTAGTTTGTTGGTTCCTTTCCGGAAACTTGAGGTGGCCGTAGAGGCGTGAGGCGGGGATGTTAGTCCTCAGAAATGCAGTGAAAGAAGGATGGAAATGCTCCAATGCTCCCTATAGGTTCTTGTAACATACACACACACACACACAGCCACATGACCAAGGTGTGGGCTGTAGATACAGTCACCTGTTTCAGGTGTGGGCTCTAGATACAACCACGTGACCCAGGTGTGGGCTCTAGATACAGCCACGTGGCCCCAGGTGTGGGCTCTAGATACAGTCACCTGTTTCAGGTGTGGACTGTAGATACAGCCACGTGACCCAGGTGTGGGCCTGTACCTATAGCCACTATTCCAGCTGTGGGCTGTAGATACAGCCACGGGCCCAGGTGTGGGCTCTAGATACAGCCACGTGACCCAGGTGTGAGCTGTACATACAGCCACGAGGGCCAGGTGTGGGCTGTAATACAGCCACGTGACCCAGATGTGGGCTGTAGAGACAGCCACTTGTTCCAGCTGTGGGCTGTAGCTACAACCACATGTCCCAGGTGTGGGTTGTAGATACAGCCACGTGACCCAGGTGTGGGTTGTAGATATAGCCACGTGGCCCAGGTGTGGGCTCTAATACAGTCAGGTGGCCCAGGTGTGGGCTGTAGATATAGCCACGAGGTCCAGCTGTGGGCCGTAGATACAGCCACGAGGGCCAGGTGTAGGCTGTAATACAGCCACGTGACTGAGGTGTGGGCTGTAGATACGACACATGGCCCAGGTGTGGGTTATAGATACAGCCACGTGAGCCAACGTGGTTGTAGATACAGCCATGTGGCCTAGGTGTGGGGTTATAGATACAGCCACGTGGCCCAGGTGTGGGCTGTACACACAACCACATGGGCCAGGTTGTGGGCTGTAAATTCAGCCACGTGGCCCAGGTGTGGTCGTAGCTACAGCCATGTGACCCAGGTGCGGGCCGTAGTTACAGACACGTGAACTCAGGTGCGGGCTCTAGATACAGCCACGTGGCCCAGGCGTGGGCTGCAG